TAGTTTAAAAGAAACAAGGAAGGAACTAGAATTTTGTTTCTTATTAATTATTTTCTACCATATACTACCACCCATATTCTAAATTATGGTTTACTAAGGAAAATTGTTTTTATTTAGCGACAAATGGATTTTTGAAGATTTTTTTTGTCGTAAACGTATTGCCAATGCCGTTGCATATGACTACTAGATATTCCATACAACTATTATTTAACTGAATCCCATTTTTTTAGACAGTAACCAATCTACGTTAGGTAATCTGTATGTGATCAAAAGTAAATTTTCCTCCCATTTGCTTAGAATTGTTTATATTTCTCATCATTTTAGTGAGTGTCTTAATGCGCTTAACTATCGCAAATTCCATTTGTAATTACCTTTAAAGGCACGTACTATTATGTGGTTATCATATGTATCTATGCGTTATATAATCGATGGAAACGTCTGTTAGCTCTGGTTGGTTGATGATTTTCACATAGCACACTTTCATCAGTTCGGAATATTTTTGTTAGATATACTAAATTCTAAACGGATCAAGTACGAATTGAAGATGTGTATTTCTCTTCATTTAATTGTACACAGCAACTCACTAAATAACATTTCATGTTTCAAATCGTAGTGATTTCAATCATATGTAAATTTTAACATCGAAAGCACTTTATATATAAAAGAAACATATGCAAAGTATTACATTTAAGAAAATAAAAAACAAGTTCTTTGCTACACAGCAAAACCAACTATATCTGAATGTATTCCACACTATAAAGTACTTCTGGGTGACCTTACAACAAGCGTGATAAATAGTTCAGTAAATAAAACATTAATTTCCTAATTCTGACATTTAAAAGTTCGAAACCGTTCATTCATTTATTTCTGAAACAAAGCTATTACATGGTCAAGTTGTTACATATATAAATGTTAAATTTCGACACCAGGTTCTATTGGAATACAACACCTAGACTACTCCAATGAAGAATTCAATTTGTATCTAGGCCAAAGGCTATGTAATAATCTTGCCATTTGTGTAAATGATTATATTCTATAGTATCGCTTTTCAAGGATTATCGAAAATTCCTTCATTTTTTTGTGTGGTTTCTGGACAATCAGTAAATTTTTCAGTCATTTACTTTGTGATCATCATTATCATCATCATGTACCTAACCGTTAGACAGTGCTGAACTCCTCTAAGTTCCTCCATTTCTCTCGATTCTAGGCCATCGCCATCCAATTCCTCTTTATGTCATCCTCTGTCTGAGCCTTCCTCTGTTGCGTTTCTCTTCTCGTGGTTACTTCTCACTTGTTATTTGATGTTCTCGCCACATTACCCGCCGATCTCCGTTTCATTCTAGTTAGGATGCGTTCAATTATATCTCTAACTTTAGTTAGGGTGGCTCTCTCTCTTACTCTTAGACTCTTTTGTTAATGTCACAGTTTCTGCTCCATATGTTATAACATTGTTCATAGACTTTTTTCTTCACATATGGGTGTATCACTTTTAAATACCTGTTTATACAGATGTTGTTGACTGTTGACGCGTTTATTGATGACTACCCGTGTATACTTCAGTACAGAAGTTTTCCGCTGTTCTCAGCAGTTTTGCTTTTTTTGTTGTTGCTACACCTTGATTATCTTGTCGTCTAAAAATATCTCGCTATCCATTTATTTGCATCATTGTATTCAGCGCGTCATTTACTTTGTATTCTTGCATAAACATGCAAGGTTCTAATATCATTGAAATAAATTAAAAATAATTTATTTATAGGTGAAAATGTCAGATAATTTACGGCAAAAAGCAAGAAAAACAAACGAGAAATAACATTTATTGTGGATATAAGTCATCATGTAAAATCTGGGAAACCATGATTAAAGTATGGGTGTTCGCTAATGACCTTTTTCCTAGCGTGGGTACTAGAACCAAATACTCACACTTGCTATTATTCAAGAAATTCCCATAATCAAAACAAACAAACCGACACCCCATCCGAAGTATTCTTTCCTATGGGACTTGCCATGAAACGAACCTTCGTATATCCGCCTTATTAACATCTTTAATTGCCGCAGGCTATACTGAGTGCTCAAACCTTTGACATGGCAGACAATTGAATGGGTTTCTTGACTTGACCTGATCATATAGATGAGTCAATATTTCTGAACATTTTAGTTACAAAACACAATTTCAATGTCCTTATTTGCATCTCTCATCGCTTCTTCAACGGTGGTTTCGTTTCAGTTTTTTTTGTACCTCAGTTTGTTCTATAAACTATTTTTTCTGGTCACAGTAAACAGCTTTATCCGAATAATGTGGGTGGGTTTGAAGAGGTAATTTTTTCTATTATTTGATCTAGCAGACCATGAAACAATAAATTAATACCTTGACTCTGGTGGTTCACACACTTATTCCTTGAAAAGCCACTTGAAAGAATGTGAGAAATACTATTGAGCCATGTTTCGTTTACTGATATGTCGATCTGTTGCGCCGTATAATTTGTTAACCGAACCAGAAGAACTACAGTGTGTGCACGAAACATCATATACGATACAAATAACGCACACAATACACATTTTGATTAAAAATAATGTGAACTGATGTATTTAGGTCTTTTTGAACGGGTTAGCTAATTTGCAGGTGGTTAAGTGGTCTATTGGCCATTGGATATGAGTACAGCAGATGTAAATCCCGAATATCGCAAAAGAGTAGAGCTTGTTTAAGTCACCGAAATCATCATCTAAAGTGTGGCATCATTTCTACGCAATCCACGCAATCAAAACCAAATTGAATTAACCGAGTACCCAAACTGGTACACTCCCAACTTTTTTTGTTTTAAACAATGATATCGATAATGCAACTGTTGTGATTTCTATTTTTTAAAGGCTGCACTGGCTAAACACCGATCACTTCTGTCTGATTCAATGAGCATGTAATAAGTTGAGAATCATAGAGTATGCCAAAACACAGTTTAAATTACATAGAATTGAAGCATTTTGTCAAGGGTAAATATGCACATGATAAAATTATTTTTTACTACTAACGGTCTGAAGATTAGAACAATTCGGGACATTAAATTACAGTAATTTTCAATAAATTTCATTGATATAGACTTGGCTTCGATCAATTTTGAATGATATGAAGATACCTCAAATAAGAAGAAGATATTTCAAATGGTACTCTTCAAAACTCTAACTGTATAACAATGTCGCAAATGCAAAGTTTATGTTCCTGGGAAATATTCTAAATTGGTCAAATTTTCGGTATAACGGTGTGTTGTTTGGACGAGCAAATTACACTTTTTATTTTCGAAGAAACTTTAGAACGAGAAAAGAAGTCTGCAGAATGTATAGCAAATATTCCAGTTTTTATCAGAATTATTTTTGTGCTTTTTGTTCTGTAGTCCCTAAATATTTCCAAGAAGGTATTTATTTCAATAAGCAATTTAAACAACTTTTAATACACATTGTATATAATGGAAAGCAGGAAGAAAAAGTTAGTTAAACGCAAAAATATCCTGAAGGCATCAAGCACTTTATGAAATTTCATATGATTGAATTGAACCTAAGTGAGTTCTTTATTCAATGTAGTTCACGTGTACTGAAGTCATAGTTAATCACCAAATTTCTCATTTGTCTCTCAAGAGATGACAGTAAAAAGCACATTTACGTTCCACTTTTTAATTAAGGCCAATTAGCCAGAAAATTTGTGTTTGTCCATTCAACCAAAAACATTAAAATTATTGAAAAATTAACATTAGAAATTATTACGATCTGTTTATTGGAAAATATCCAGATTGATCAGCCATATCGCAAACTACTGTACGTAAAATTGAGAAAAAAATGGAAAGATAGGTGGATGAAACGTCACAATTTCAGATAAATCTATAATTTTTTCAATAAGAAGTTGGTATAGATCAAAAATTAACAGATGTCCAGATGATAAAAGAGTTACAAAATGCTCGGATAAGCAAATTTATATAGAAAAACTAGGCATAAAAATCCGCTCTTTTCATTGTTAAACGTGTTGTTAAACAAAGACTTTTGCATTTCCCCATAACTTTTCACTATTTTCGAATGACATTTATTAGTGTTTCAGCCGTTTATACGCGCACAAAAGTATTCGCTTAATTTATTAAATGTTGATCACTGTTACATAATAGATTTATTTTTTGGTGTGCAGCAAAAAGCGATAACAATCTTATTTAGTTATTTTAATCAACAGGTGGAAAACAACCAGCTGGAAGCCCCAACAATTTGTTTTAACACGCATTTTACATATAAAACACTCTGTTATCTGTAAAACAATTAAAGGTTACATTTGTAGTTATCATTTTGTAGATGGAACTTAAAACTAAGCATCATTTAGTAAAAACATTTCCCAGCTTTGTCTGAATTATCCATTCGGAACACCTTCCAGTACTACTTTGACTTGCCTTAGTGCACAACATTTTAAATCAATTGCTTATAGATTGTTTCGATTAAAATTGTGCCATTTACAAGACTGAACAAGATTACATTACAAAAACAGATAAACAATATAAGTTGTTTTTGTGCACTATTCGCACTATTCGCTTACTCCAAAATTAAAACCTCGTCACCCAATGTCAAAGGATGTTGCAAATAGGCTTACGAAAACAATAACATTCGGAATGTAAAAAGTTGTAAACTACACATCGTCACACCGTGTGACCCACATAGTATAAGAATGCAGGACTCAGCGTTCTTTACACTTACAATGACACCGATAATTATTAATTTAATCTTATTTCCAGTACACAAGCCGAGGTTTTGCACTCCATACTTTTCCATCGTTCGTTCTTGCAGAAGCGATTTGCTTTTGTTATCGAGACATTGAGTCGACATATTTATTTCTCGGAAATTTACTTGATATATGTGAAATAATCCGTTCGACTTACGTTTTTTTACGCGTTATGGTATTTCCATACATCGTTTATAAACGATTTGTTAGAAATTAGTCATTATACCAATTTGAAGTTCGATAAGCCTAATAAACTTACCACGTAGAAAACAGTCCTTTGAGTGGGCCATTGTGAAGTGGATGGAGGCTTAAGGCACATCTGTAAACAATAAAAAAATATTTGAGCAATCAATCTGACTGAGAAAATGATGATTGTGATTATATTTTATTATTAATAACAGGGCTACGGTTACATGAGTTTAACTATTCTCATAACATCTATTTTAGTCCGATATCAATTTTTCTTTTATGTTTTGAGTAAAGTTATTGCATACATTTGTTTATCGCGTATTCTTGTAACTGACGTTTTTATTTTAAATCTAGTTTCAAACTACGCCAATTTAACTTTAGGCCATCATTTAATACATAATTCAAGATATTCTGAAAAATATTATTGTCAAATTAAATTTTTTTAGCGTCCGAAAAGGCAAAATTAAAAAGATTTCTCGGGGCTTAAGCAGACAAATAGTTGTTGGAATAAGAAGCAGTAAAATTTTCTTATTCCAAAAATTATTTGTCCGCGTAAGCCGCGAAAAATTCCTTTCATTATTGTCAAAGTGCAAGCTAGCGGGTAGTTATCCTTATCAATAATAGTATGCATTGGATAAATAGGTTACAGTTGTAAGCCAGCAAAGGTTACTATCCTAGTGTAGAATCGTTTCAGAACTTATTGGACTTTTAACTAAACCTGACATTAAACAATGCGAAATGCATATATTCGGTTTAAACTGGTACCATGGAATAATTGTAATTATTGCACATTAAAATTGTCGAAGTTTAATTCCATTTTTGTTGTAAGTTGACTAATAATCACAATTATCCATTAGAAAATTTCCATATGCAATTACAGGCTTTTCAATTACCGAGATAGCAATTACTAGTAATTGGCATGATATGGAATTAGCTGCAAGGAACATTTTTTCTATCATTAGATACAACAGTTTTTTTATTAAGAATATATTAGGAAGGAATAATGTTCCTTCTTTTTCATTTTAAGTACGACATATAAGTGCTCTCGCTTGAAGTAGGTATTCTGAATGCAAACTGGTCGAGTTAATTTCACAAACTTTTGTATTTTTTTATTTTACTGTGCTCAAGTGCTTGTAACGTAGAAGGAAGGAACACACTGGTCAGGAAGTGTTGAAAATGTTTGATTATAAGTAGATAATTTTTTGTTATGTAAATTACAAGATCTTAATTCATATCTGTTTTATAGATTAATACACATTGTCTTGTTTCTTCTGAATTGATCGCTTAAAAGCTTCAATTCAGTGGAATCAGTGCTGCAGATTTAAAGCTGTTGCAATTGATTCTGAAAACTTATTTATTTTTTAACTTGACTTTCTAAGCAAGTAATTGCTATATTAAACCTGTTGCACATTTCTGAATGTATACAGTATATTCCATTACTATCTATACTAGATCAAACATCCATCACAGGAAAATTCCCTTTCTGACGCATCGAGTGTCTTTTGTTTTTAAGTTGGTGACTATTGAGAGTCTTACTCAGAAACTATCGATTTGTGGTCAAAACCTGCAAAAAATACAAATAAGTTAACTTGACGTATTATTTGATTTAATTATTTAATTTGGTGTACTGAAATATCCTGTTTCGTCATTTCAAAGTAAACAATGTATTTGCGATTTTCAATTACCGAATAATTATGGAGTTTGCTAGTGATTATTTCATGCATTCGATAATTCGGGTTTACTAAGAATCGCATTCATTCAGAAGCTACGTTTTATAATTCCATTCAATTCCGGGTACACGCACATTTTATCTTTTAATTACGTGACGCTTTTCAAGGTGTTAAATTTATTTTTACACGAAATTTGTAGTCAATAGGTGAATTGTTTATGTCATGTATACTCTGTATAGTAGGAGAATTCGAATTCTTGGAGAATTCACAGCAAGTATTTCCAGAAGTATTTTTGAGCTGGGAGTTTAATTTAATTTAGAAAAGGTGCGTCTAAATGTTTTCAACCTCTCACTTGTTATAAAACAATCATTTTTTTGGTGAGTTAATTAAGCAAATGCCTGCTGAATTTATTAACGAACATCCAATAAGGTCGAGTGACATCAAACATCTACTAATTCCTGTTGCTTTACAAAATCCTTATCAATTAAAATTGGAACCTTGAGACATGTAAATGAAAAGTGGCGTTTTCGTAAGTTAATTTGTGCACAGATTACTTACTAATAGAAATCTGTAATGTGTGCGCAATTGTAAAATATTCGGGCTAATTTAGCTAACGAGTATTTAACATTAAATCCGACATATATCTTTCGAAATATTCCACGCATTAAACCAGTGAAAATGTACCCTAATAAATACGTCAAGAAAAATTACACAGAATGCCGGTGTTTTTTTCTGTTTGGTTCAGACTGAGCGTAGGTAGTTCTTTTGTTTGTCCAAAGAAAATATTTTATTTTCATCTCACCAAGTAAATCTGCCTGTCTAAATACGTGCATGTACATATGTATATCTGCTCCTAAGTTCAGCTGCATCAGAAGGAAATTTATTAGAACGAAGCGTTATCGCAATGATTTAAACCGTAAAAAATTACGTTTCATTTTACATTATTTTTTAAATTTGAAATAGCGGTAGTATTGCTCTGTTGTTATTTTTCATTTGTAATGCAATCCAAATCTGCGCTTGTTCTATTGTCATTTATATTTCGTTTTAAATTAATGCCTGTTTAAGGGATAATTTATTTAAAACTAATTGAAGTAAAATGAAGTGTTTTTCCGAAATGTTTATACATATATTTAAACATAAACATGTATAATGTTTATAACAATATTTTCCGGTCATGCAACCGACAAAGTTACTAAATCGTTTAGAAAGTACACTAAAGTGAAGAATGAAATTTATAATTTGGAGATTCGTGATCTACATTCTGTTTTCTTTGTACCATTCGTAAAAACAGACGTTTTTAAGTACTAAGTTTAAGTAAATGTTTTATTTCTGCTCTAAGTGTAATATTTCCAGTCCTATTTAATACAGAAAACCAGAACAAAATGTACATATTTCATTCAATCCTAGAAAATTTGAAAATTAGCGGAAAACAGAAAACCAATTGGAAGAGACATTAAAATTTTAATTCCCATATTCTTTAATATCAAAATATTGAGATTATTATTTCCACGTCGGGATGCATAAATTATAGAATTGTTTTCTAAAACAGCCGAATAAGCATTCAAAGGTTGCTATCATTTTTGGAACGTTTTAAGTAGCAAATAAGACTCAATTAATTCCTGAAATCAGAAGTGAGATTAGAAGTGAATTTTACGGCTCGCATTTGTTAAAAATAATAAGAAAACGCTAATGAATTGAGTTGAGCTGGAAAAAAAATCAGTGGGCATATATTTATAGATTTTTCCTTTAATTCGAAAATAAGTTGCTCCATATGTGCATTAAATATTTCAAAAGCAAATGCTAAGGTTTTCAGTAAAACAGCTTCAATCTAGGCCTGAGTACACTGTATTGTGTTGCACTTTTGAGTAGGTAGTTGTCGCTCTCTGAGTTGATGAGTTAGTTATCCGTTAACAGATGAGTTATAACTAATTTATTAAAGTGGATTAAAGCTTTACGAGACCCCTGACCACTTCGCCAAAATGACTAAAAAAACGGTCATCTTATTTTTTAAGTGAGTTACGGCGCCGGTGCGTTAAGTTGGCGAGCAATTTGCGCAGCACAGCGCCAGCTCCTAAAAATTCACTGAGTTAGCCAGTTCTGTTCAATCCTCTTCAAATGATAAATGTATTACTTCTGCTAGACATTTTTTGTTTTAACTAAATACATACTCGGAAATATAGAAACACTGTTAAGGAGTGGTATGGGACGTTGAGGTTGATTGGATTATTCGCTTTTAATGTATTCTTCTTTTTAGGTGTTGAACGGAAGACACTGCCTACCGACACGTGGAGTTAAGTCCGAAACAACAATTTGTACTTATAAAAACTGATTTCTGAACTGATTCACAATTCAGATGAACTTGAAAAACTGTTTTTCCAAGTTTCTAGGGTAAGCAAGTTGTATCAAATACAGGTACAGTTATGTGGTTTGCCAACGAATCAAGGCAACGTGTAGACATCTTTCCATAAAATGTCTCAATTAAGCTGTGAAAACCCATTTGCATTTTGCACAAGTGTCCACAGCCGCATAAAGGTGGTAATGATTTATTCACCTCTTCCGCAATCTTAATAACCTTAATAGTTCTCGAACGATCGCAAAAACTCTCTCTAATGATAGACCTCTTGACTGTGAGTTTATTGTTTTATAAACAAACCGACTTTCGAAAAATGCTCCAACGCCAGACAATTAGTGACATTTTTATGTGATATTTACATCAGTGGGAAATGCTATGGTGTGGTTGGTTTACGTCGGATCATTGGCGGCACGTTAATGCCTCCATCAAGGCTTAACAAATACTTCTTAATAGCTTTATGTTCCAGAAACATCCAGAAAGTGCCTGCAATAATCAGTTTACTGAATTGGTTCATGCTCGTAATTTGAGGATTTGCCTTAAATAAAATAATATGAAAATTAAATTTCAAACTGGATTTGTTGGAGGATATGACAATATTTTTGAACATCCCCTCACTAAGAAAAACCAAAAGGCTCTAAATGGAAAAGATATAAAAGATGGTTGGCATTTTTCGTAAGAAGAACGAAATAATTATAAAATTGTATGTTGATTATACGAATTATAAAATTATAATATTGCTGAAAACAAACTGAGCACTCAAGTGCTTAGTGTTCATATTGGCCAGAGAACAGTATCCTGCACAATAAACAGTACTAGAATATATATTTTTTAATTGACACAGTTAAAAAACTGCAAAGTGCGAAACTAATAAGACAAAACAATTCGTGTTTGGTTATCATTGATATTAAATGAATTTTCTTCGCGCTCCAAGCTCTCTAATAATACGTAAAACTTTTTCCTATTACCGACTTTCTTAACAGATTTCCAACGTTTAAGTTGAAAATTTAACATAAAAACAACGACACTTTATCTGCAAGGAAGAAAAGCTACTTTGTCAAGTTACACTGATCTTTAATCTTGCATTTTTCTTTAATGGGAATATTTGCG